GTCTGTCTAGTGAGAGAGATGAAAAACCTAAAAGGATTGAAATTGATATGGAATCCTCCAGGTTTGGAGAGAGAGAGACGCTCATTCACAAAGAATTAAAAGAAAACTCACTGCAGAATTAAATGAATTTCAAAACTGCAAATTCCCTAGATTTGGAAACATTTTGGTTTCTGTCCAGCTTCGTTGTGAAGAGCGTAGAAGAGTTGGGATGTACAGCTGACAGCTGTCCTGTCTTCTGTTTGGTTCCTTCCTGCCCTGGGTACCAATCTGCTGAATACCTAGAGAGGGAGTGGCTCTGAATTCTGGATTTCTCTCCCCAAAAGTGCTCTTTGGAGCGGGCACGTAGCACTGCCAGCTCCCAGCTGTGCAGGGAGGTCCTAGGACATGGAGAGTCCTCGGTGGGAGGTCGTAGGATTGAGCAGGATTAATGGCTAGCATGAGTAGTTCTAAATTCACAGCTCTAACAAGTCATGGTGACAACCTTTTGGAGAGGGCTCTGTCTGTGCCTTCATTCTTGGCCATAGTGGTGAGTCTTTGGCCCTGATCCAGATGGGTACCATGACCTTAATGCCTTTTTGGATTGAGCTCTTGGTTCCCTACCAACATCTAAAAAGCTTGCTGAGAAATCCTAATTGTAGATTTGGGGGAGGCAGCTGATCGTGGAAGGGCCCACATCAGATCCCATCAGTCTCCCACTTCCCTTTGACTTGGATTTCATGAGGATGCAGGCTTTGGTGGCAGGTTCTTCTTGACTCTTTCCAAACCAGCATCCTGTTAGCAGCTTTGATTAATTCAGAAAGGCCTTCAGCCTGCATGCTTTGGGGCAGAAGCTGAACAGCACCTGAGGTCAGGCAGTATGTCCATCTCAAAAGGATACTGTGCCTTGCCATGGCCTCCAGGATTTGGGTGAAGGAGGTGTACATCCCCCTCTGAAATTGAGCAGAGGTGGTTGCTGGAGGCAGGGTGATAAACTGGAAGGACTTGCTTTCCATCCATGAGAATTCCGTGGGGAGCACCCACTGTTGCTTCAAACCTGTCTGTCAAGAAGCCTCTCTGACATGGATATTGTCCTTTTCCTTTGTACCTCTTGTGATCCTAACTTTGCAAAGGCCACACAGCATACTAAACTCATCCAAGATCCCTGCAGCACCTCTTGTCTTGCTGCATCTTCTCTTTTACAGGAGCTGCTGCTTTCCAGGTTTTCTTTCCTTGCTGCCTGCACTATTTCCTTCATCCCTTATTCCTCAAGGCAGATGGAGATTGTGCCTTTTGTTTTCCACTCTGATCTGAGGCTTGCTGCCTACGTGGCTATTAGAAAGTCATATTTTGGCTCAATGCTACACTTTACCTTTCCTTCACCACACTTTCCTAGGTGGACTGGGCTGTAAACCTCCCTCTGATTTATTACTTTGCTTTCTGTGTTCCTCATCTTTACTGCAAATTGAAAACATGTCTCTGTAGGGTGCTCCAACTGGAAAAAGGGGCCTTGGTGATTGTAATGTTCCAAACAATTCATTTCAAGCACCAACATGATGATTATAGTTTGTCGTTTCTAGAGAGTAGTTAAACCTCATGTAATGAGGTTGCCAATTATCCCTGGTACTCCCCAATGTTTAGTGACAAATCAAAGCTACTTGGTATACATGAGTGTGTTGCTTGTCAAGCCCGTGACCTGTCATCCACAGCTGGCTCCACAGCAGGAGACATGGAAGATGCTCGATTCCTTGGCATAGGTGTTACTGGAGGTGTTAAAAGGTGGGAAATCAGGATTGGCAGGGGTGTTGGAGAGCTGTGGGATGTCCCCTTGGGTCCCTTCTGTTGTGGTTTGAGGCTTGGAATGGGGGCGTGACCTTCCAGCAACTGGGAGGACCCCGGGTGGGGGTGAAGCATTGTATTCCCTCCCCTTCCCACACACACTCTGATAAGAGGCAGGGAGTGGTTTCTAATTTCACTCCTGCCTTGGAGCTCGGAGAGGGAAGTTGTCCTTTCACTCCGTGGGACCCTGGAACCATTTCTGAGGGTTTTGTAGATTTTATTTTTTGTACTTTTCCCCAAATCTTTGTATATATTATTTTCCTTACCTCCCTTTTTCATTTTCTGTTCCTTGTTGAACAATATACTTCATTTTTTTTTCCAAAGTGTCTCTCTCTCTCTCAGGGGGGGGGAGGTGAGTACATAGTTCTGTTCTGTGTGGGTCCTGCCCTGAACCCCTTTTTACACAAAACCAGGACACCTTCCAACCTATGGATGATCCTGTGACCAGTGCCGCATATTAGTGGTCTGAAGAGTTGAGTTTTAAATGCTTCAGTAGTTAGCTGAGGCTGAGGTTTCTTGTTCTCAGCGTATCTTGCCAGGGTGGTGAGAGTCACTTTTCAAACGTCCTTTCTGAAGCCTATTAGATGCCTGGGGATAAGGATGTTAAATGAGCTGGTCCTTCTGCCTGTGGGAGGGTGAGTCTTTCCGTGCCATTCATGACTTCTGCGGGGGTCAGCTCTGGTGAAGAAGTGCCAGGCTTAGCTGTCGTGGCCCCCAGGGCTCTGCTGCCCCATCAGAAATTTGCCATTCCCTTTTCGTGCCCAGCACCATATGCCAGGCAGCCGAAAGCACGTCACTCTGGTCCACTGAGAGATTTTAAACTTCACTGCTGACTTCTACTCCTGTTCCCAGAGGAATTTCACCCCACGGACTGAGACAGATAAGGCAGCAGCAGGTGTCAAATGCTTCATCTGAACGGGTGGCAGTAGCGAGATGAAAGGATTTCGTTTCTATGGGGAGCCTCTTGTCATTTCCCTTAGATTGTGAAGGGGAAGGAGCTGGCCCTGGCTGAGGAGATGGTGGAGGCTGCCAAGCACTGCCTGGGTTGCTCTGCACTCCTTGCACTGGGTTTGGTGTTACACCCTCCAGCTGGTGCAGAGCGTGGTGGCAGTAGATGCTGGTCAAACATGCGGTGGAGAACAGGGTCTGTCCCAGAAGGTTCACACCTCAACACAGAGGGAGGAGAAGCAGTGATGAAGTGATGAGACTCGTAGCCCAGCACTGCCAAGCAAGGCAGTCACAAGGGTCTCCTCTCTTGTGTGAGATGGTGCATTAACTCTGCAAAATTTTTTTACTGTCCATCCCCAAGGACAAAGGATGGATTTTGACCTTGGCAATGCATGATAGTTGGGTTCCAGCCTTGCCAGCTTCAGAAATAAATGTCCACGTTCTTTAACTCCCTGCTGCAAAAGACAGGCTGTCATTGGTGTTGCTTGGTGGATAAAGTTAGGGGTAGACCTTTGCGTCTTTGTATTTGAATTGGCACTAAAGCTACATCTCAAGGAGTCCATTAATCTCGAACAAATTGAACTCCAGAGGCACAACAGGCATTAATACCTTAAAGATGGCTTTTCAAGCTCAGCACTGACAAGTCCACCTTTGCATTTTCCCTCCTTTTCATGGCAAGAAGGGGAAATTCTGTAGGTGGCCACCAAAGAACTGAAGGAGGCAGCAGGTGGCTTCTGAGATCTCTCCGTGTCTCAGTCTCCCCACCTCCCTTCCTCCCTCGCAGTATTTTTTTTCCTCTCTCTGTTATACTAAAAAATACTATGCCTCCTGCACCTTCATTATGCTCAGCAAATCCTCAGAAAGTAAGAATTTTGTACAGCATGAAAAAACATTTGTGATATAAAGAGAGCAGAAACTGTGGAAGGGCCCCTTCCAGAAAGGTTGGATCAAACCTAATTATAATCCTTTCCCACCCCATCCCCAAGGAAGAATCAAGGGGACCCAAGCTGAGCCTTGACAAAGAGCTGTTCGTTCACTTGCTGAGGGCAGTGCAATTAGATTTTCCAGCAAAAAAAAGCCCTAAGGGAAAACAGAAGCCAACACCAGAAAAATCTGTCACCTCCCAGACCCTGGTACACCACAGAGGATGTGGGGGATGGATTTTCAAAATGCAAATAGGGGTCCATTGAGGCTTCGCTACACTTCAGCAAGGTAATTTTCAAACTTAATGATTTTCACATTTAGTTCAGGGAGAAATTAGTCATCAGGTATTGAGACAAAGCAAGGCTCTCTTCTGGACTGGGATGCTCTCCTCTTCAAGCTATGTTATCGTGGCAATAATTAAAATGTTCGCTGGAGTAGAAAATGTGCTATCTGATTCATTAGCCAGATTTCCCTTTGTAAGGCAACTCGTGGCTGCTTCTCAGAAATAGAGATGGGCCCAGAGGAGAGGACTCTGGATGCTGCTGATTCAGAAGGCAGGAGCCAAGGGATCGTGGAACTAAAACAAGTGTGTGTGCACCTCACACAGCGAATAGCTCAGCATGGCCTCTTCCACCCCTGCAGCCACCAAAGGCTGGTAGGGTCTGCCTGGGAGGCTGGTGAAGCTCTGGGTTAGGAGAACACACAGGCTAACAAGCCCACCCCAGGCATGAGGTCCCTTAAGGGTGGCCGTGGGCCCAGGCTAAGCAGGAGAATTTCAGCTTGCACCCCGATGTGCTGCAAAAAGGTGCCCTCAGTAAACGAGGCAGTGTTACGTGGGAATAGGAAAATGAAGGAATTCTGGGTGGCAGAAGGAAAGACCAAGTGTCAGCCGTGTTGACTGGTGTCTGAAAGCTCACAAGAATTTGTGCAGTGCTGAGTACAGTGCTCAAGGCACCCATTGGCTGGCTCAGAGTTGTTCATGAAGAGTAGGTAGGAAAAGGAGGAGGAGGAAGAGAGTACTCAGCTTTGATTGACTTCCCTGCAGGGAAACGAGCAATGCTGGCAAGCACTCACCCTTCAAAATTTCAAAATAATCTGTAAGACATAAACTTAATGACAGGTGACTTGTTTTTGCATCCTCCTGGTATCTGAGTCTTTAGCTGACACTATTTTGGTGTTTCATCTTGTTCTAGTGGTGCCACGTTTCAACCAGCTTGTCCACGCAGAGCAGAAAGTTACTCCTGATGTGAAATGAGCTTGTCCTCAAGTAGAGCGTGCACAAAAACACCTCTCCCTTTTTCCCTTTCTTCTAGTGATCCCCAAAGTGACTAAGCACTTGCTCTCCAACCCTGTCTTCACCTGTATCATCCTGGCAGCCTGCATGGAGATCGCGGTGGTGGCCGGATTCGCCGCCTTCCTGGGCAAGTACCTGGAGCAGCAGTTCAACCTCACCACCTCATCTGCCAACCAGCTCCTGGGTGAGTAACCACAGGGACCACCAAGTCTCCCGCATCTAAAGGCATTTAAAAGTGTTCAGTGTGGCTGGTAATTGCAACCAGTCTTGGTTAGGCTGCCCCAAACGTGATTTGCCCAACATCTGGAGATGTTGAGTAGAACACCAGTGGGTGGGAGGGCTGGGCTCCAGCTGTGCCTTGGCTGCAGAGCCCAGAGCAGACCTCCAGCATCTTTCCTTCTCTGCAATCGCTTCCCCTCTGTATGAGCTCACTGTGTGAGAAGTGGTAGGGTACAGCCAGGGTATGAGAGTCTGTGATGGCCCTGAGGTACAGCAGAAATCCCACCCAAACTGGGATATTTGGTTGCACAAGACTGCAGTTGCTTGCTGAGTGACAGGGCTGCCCATGGAACTGCTTATCTTATGGTTTAAGTATCTCATAGTTCTCCAGCCTATCTCCACTTGGGTTAGGAAGCCCATTTTCTCCTGCTAGTCCCTCCCTTCCCCTTGGACTGGAAATGAAGGGATTGCAACGAGTAGTTTAAATACCAGAGCTAGTGGACTTGGCTGGTTTTCACATGCCCCTTCTCTCTGACCATGCTTCCCTCTTTCCCATATACATATTTCTCAATGTTCATTTGTTCCCTGCCAAGACACAGATGCACAGGCAGGATCTTCATTTGTTTTCTCCTGCTCCTTACTCCCAGGCAGGCCCAGCGATTCGTTTATGACAACCCTTCCTTCAGCAGCACCCAATTAAGATATGTGCAAGTTGATCTTGGATGATCTGCAACCACAGCTCGCCAGATGGGCAGCTGGCAGTGATCTGTCAAAAACTGGGACATCGTGAGATGGGTGGATCTTAATATCAAAATAAGGAGCTTGCAAGCTGCTCTCCTGACAGTTGTTTTCCCACTGAACTCATTGACATCTTCTGTCTTTGGCCTGGTTTTCCAAAAGAAACAATCCCCTGCAGTCAATCTTGCCTCCCCCAGCAACACAGGAACACTGGTGAATTTTAACAGGATTTGACAGAAGGGCAAAACAACTTCACGTTGACCCACTGGGGGAAGGAAAACCACCATGCTGTTTGGTGGGAGATGCTTGGCCAGCCAGCATGTGAGTACAGCTGGATGGTCAGCAGAGGGGGAGTCACCTGGGAGGCAGAGCACATCCCACTTCTGACCTAGCAGTGGGAAAGGAGACTTGGATACGTCCACTGTCCTCACAACAGCTTATTTAATTTGAATGAAGTTGCTACCAGATCTCCCACAGGGCATTTATGGGAGTCCACAATGCCAGGACTTGGATGCACTTCTAAGCTTAGTAGGTGAGGTCTGAAGTGTAACTGGCAGCAGAGGGATAAAAGTGAACCAGACAGGCTTAGTGTGATAATGCCTTTCTGTGCCTGGAAAGTGAGTCACTGCTGGCAGAGATTTTGCCTCTTGCAGTCTAAGAAGATTCTTTAAAGGAGGCTTCACATTTTCAAATGTGACTATTGCCCCACCTCTGAAGATCAGACTGCTGTGAAGTGTACCAAGCAGGGCTCACCCAAACCCTCTAGACACCTCGGGAAATTCTTGACTTCATTTCTCTGCCAGCTGTTGCAGGAACCATTGGAGGTGATGCTGCTTAAGTTAGAGTGGACCAATATCAGCAATTTTGGCATCTCCCTCCAACATGGACAAGAACTGGAAGGTCCCAGCTCTTCTGTGCAAGGCAGCCTGCCCATTTGCATCTGTTCCTCTCTTTTTGAGCAACCCCCAGCTTGGTGCTGCTCCAGCAGTCGGTCATTACAAGGTTTCCCCACACTAGTGCCCAGATCTCTGTGCTGGAAGGTAAAAAGCTGTGATTGACTGAGCCTCACTCACACTTCTTGCTAATGGGTTTTTCCTCTTGCAGGGATGACAGCAATCCCATGTGCGTGCCTGGGCATTTTCCTGGGTGGCCTCTTGGTGAAGAAGCTCAGCCTGTCTGCCCTGGGAGCCATCCGGATGGCCATGCTGGTGAACCTGGTGTCCACAGCTTGCTACGTGTCTTTCCTCTTCCTGGGCTGTGACACAGGACCTGTGGCAGGGGTTACTGTTCCCTATGGAAACAAGTGAGTCCCTGGAGAGTCTCTGGGTCTCATGCTGCCCTACCAACATGAACCCAATGTTGTTGTCCTCGACAGGCAGCCTGGCTCTTACACAACCACATAGAGCAAGCATATAGAAGGCAATGTTGTACAGGGCTCTTACTGTGGGATAGTTTCATACCACTCATCACTGTGAATGTTGAGTACCTGCAGCTGACAACAGTTTTACTAAAATCAGTCAGACTGAACCCAAAGGTGCCAGCCCTGATTTTGCCCTCGTGGCCACCAGTGCAGCCTTGGCTCCACCACACCGTCTGGTTTCTCCTGGCAGTGAGGGGCAGGCTCTGCTTTGTGGATTTATTTAAGTGCCTGAGGGGAATCTGTAGAACCAAATTTTAGATGCCTGGAATTTCAGACGTGGTGAGGAGAGAGAGTATGTGTGGCTCCAGGCCCATTTTTTGGGAGAAATGAGGCACGCTGTGCCCTGTAGCATTCACAGGACTTGAGGAGAGTTATTCTGTGTATTCTTATCTGGTGCTCCTCAGTGTGCAGTGGCAGCTTTTTGGATGATGACAACTTCAGGCTCTCAGCTCCTCACAGCTACTGTTCCAGAAAAATACTAAGTGATCTCGGCAGCATTCCTTTGGGGCTTCTCCTTGGGGTGATGAGGCAGCCCAAGCCTCACATTAGATTCCCTGTTGCAGAGGGATAGTGGCTGTGGCATTTCTGTCCCCAGGGAGAGGCTGTAGCCTGGATTACTTAAAGCTGGGACCCAGAGAGCCTGCCCACTGCTTTTTGTAATTTGTTTGCCTTTACTACCCCCCCATCAAAGCCATCTTTGTGTGGCAGCAATTGGAAAAACTGGCTGATGCCATCACACTGGCCACTGATTTCTCTTTCTGTTTCTCTTACAGCTCAACTCCAACCTCATCTCTGGACCCATATTCCCCCTGCAATAACAACTGTGAATGCCAAACTGATTCCTTCACTCCAGTCTGTGGGGCAGATGGGGTCACATACTTATCTGCCTGCTTTGCTGGCTGCAGCAGCACGGTGAGTGGGCTTTCCTCAGGACCTCTTGCCTCTACCAACCATTCTGTTGAGCATGAGTGAGTGAGGTTGGTGTCTATGTGGTAGAGTAGCTCATTTACAGCCAGCAGTGGTCACACCCCCAACAGCTCCCCTCATACCTCGGGTGACCTGAGCTGCTGTTGGTTTTCACTCCGTTGCATGGATGCCCACTGACTCCAGCCGCAGCCTGCTGGGGTGGCCAACAGAGTGAGATGATTGCCCATCCTCCTTCTCTGGCCTTGCTCCTTGGCATGGAAACAAAGAACATGAGAGGAGATCTGCACTGTTGTCCACTGGCAGAACCCAAACCCTCCACGGGACCTCACTGGTCCTGACTGTGGGACCACTTCTCTTTTCTTCTGCAGTTCCTCATCTCCCTGCTTCTCCACCTGCCTATATTTGCCCTGCCTATTCCTTTTGTTCTTATTCCTGTTGCTCTTTTTATGAAATTATTTCCTAGACATAACCACCAAATCCTGGTTTCATTCACCTTTGTTTAAGCTTTTCTTCCACTCCTCTTGCTTCTCTCTCTTTCCCTGCTTTGCTCTGAAGCAGAGGCAGGAGCAGTTGTCAAGGGAGCAGAGACTCCATCCAAAGACATTCTGCATTTTTCAGTTCTCCATATCTAAGAGTTTATTTCCTTTAGAGAACTCCTAAAGACCAAACTATCTCTTTGTAAAGAAGATATGGAGAATTTTTAACAATATCTGAAAAGCCTGCTTTTCCATTTTTTGCTGCTGAAATGCTAATGTCTTCTGGGTTCTGCTGAGAACGAGTGCCTGCTGCTCCTGTGGCTCAGAGCTGGTGGGGTTCCTGCAGTCCTGGCTCCCTGCCTGGGGCCAGACCAGGCATGGTGACCAGTACCACACTGCCTGTGTGGAGCCCATGTGAGATCAGCCTGGTCACAGGGACCATTTGTGGCTGCAGGGACATCAGTGCTCACCACATGCAATTATCCCTGCACTGCTTCATCTTTCCTTTTTGAGGAGACATCAAACCTTCCTCTATGCCCTAAAGACAAACCCCCTGCGAGTACTGGTGAGATGTAAGCTCACTGCTGGCAAGTGCAGCCTCACAGCCCAGATGACCTGGGAGCTCATCTTGCTTAAACCTCTTCTTAGATCCTACTCCAGCCTCAGAGCTGTAGGCATCCCTTTGAGATAGCACAGTTTCAGGATGCTTTCAGCAACCCCACGAGGGACTCCACAAGCGTGTGACACGTATGGAAGTGTCACCTCTTGCCCTCTTCCTCCTCTCCTCCTCCAGCTAAGAGACAAGTCAACACCTGGAGCAACAAGACGGTCGTTGTGACAAGAATCCATCTTGCACAGGGCACACAGAGCAGTGCCTCAACAGTTCTCTGAGCCCTTAAGAACACTGCAGCCAGTGTGGGCCGTGGCTGGAGTGCAGGAGCAGCCTCCTCACCGTGCAGTGCAGAGCTTTGCCCTGCCTCTTCTGGAAGGAGCATCATATTGTGAATTCAGCTCTGCCCCTTCCAGCTGCAGCTGCCTGACCTCATGCTCTGCAAGAGCAAACCTCTGAGCAAAAATTTCACTCTCCCTCATCCACTCTCTTACTCATTCTTTCTGGTTTTGTCTTTCCATCATCATCTTGGGGTTGTTTTTACCACTTTGTTTGGCGGAGGTTTTTGCAGCAACATTTTGAACAGGAATTAGTGAAGCAATAGCATCCTCTGGAAAGGGCATTATCAAGAATTATGAATCAGTTTGGCCATGCGATGGCCCCGAGGCAAAGCCAAATTGCCAAACCAGTTTTTAAACTCATAATCCAGGTAATAACATGTCTAGAGGGTCTTGTGAATGTTATATGCTTGGGATGAGCCAAGGGTTACGTTTTACTGGAACATAAAATTCTTTGAATGCTTTATTTAACTTTACAGCATTGGACATCTCTGACTGCCTCTCTCCACTTCTCCTCTGTGAACAATTTCTAAAAGCAACACGTAGCTCAGCTGTTTTTTTTTTTTCTTTTTCATTTCTTCTCTCTTCATTTTCCTTTTCATTTCTTCTCTGAGCTGTTTGCAGAGGTGCATCTGTTCAGAAAGCCGTAGGAGTTCTCAGTGCTGATAGGCAGAGCTCTGGCACCCTCAGGAATTTCTCTTCCAAGCCATTCCTGGGAGTGCCCCTTGCATACAAAGCCTCTGACTGTGCTTCTTGTCTGTTTGGTGCCATTGCTTTTCTCACCCTTTTGGCTGGGGACACATGAATTCCAGCCTGGCATTACCATGCTGACATCTCAAGTACCAGCCGGTCCCTTCCCTGGGTGTAGAAAAATGAATAGTTAAAACCATGAGTAATTTGCATAGATAATCACCCCAAACTTGGGATGCTGTTAAAAGTGCAAACTCTGCATCTGGGCAGCTTCAGGTGCACAGAGGAAATCTGGATGTGCAAGCTGCTGGGCAGTGGGAGGCTGTGATAGCATGGGGTTGCAGACAAGGGAATCCACAGCAGTTTGGCACAGGTAGCAAAGATTTCCTTCTCCACAGGACAGAGGTAAAGCTCACCATCTTTGATGTTTCCTTGTTTGATGTCTGTGAGTTGTGTAGTGTGTCAGTAATAAAAGATCAAAGATCTCCCAGGTAGGGATGAGTTGCAGCACTAAGCAAGCACATGGGGTTGGTACAAACTACACACACTGCTTTGGGCTAGCACCTTGGTGTAAAATGGTTAAAAAAGCAGATTATGGGGCAAATTTTCAGGTAATGGAGGTGGAGACCTGCCTCAGGGGTTGTAAAACATCATAGCAGTGGGAGGAGAGTCTGCCCCACTGTTGGCAGAAACGGGTAATGTCTCTCCATTGATGAGAGCCTATAGGACATAAGCAGTTTGGTGTGTTTGCAGTGAGGGGAGTTTTGTCCCAGGGTGTTTCAGAGCAGGAAT